ATGCATGTAAAATTATAGATAGAGAGACAAATGAAGGTAGATGATAGAGAATAAATAAAGATAGATTGGGAAAACAAATGAGACTTATTTGAACTAACCGTAGTTAGGGGTGGGCGTGGGTCGGTTGCGGCCACGGAACCTCCAATCCGCCATCCGTCCGCCAGATTAGTGGATTAGAGAAAATCAATCCACATCCGTCTGCCAATCCGGCGGATGTGGATTCAGCGGATTGGCGATTTGGTGGATGGATTGGCGGTTTCAAATTTTATAAATTTTCAACATAATTCAACTTGTGCACCTCCTCTAAAAAAAAAGAAGAAGAAAGTATTACAGTCAATGACTTAAAAAAATATTACCATCACTGCATGCTTCATCCAAAGCAAGAAAGTAAGAAAGTTTGAAACTTTAGAATATCATAATCACTGCATGCATTATCCACATACTACAATCGCAGCATGCCTCATCCACATAAAGTATTACAATCTGTGGTTCTTAAAATATAAAAATAATTCAAACTACCAAAACTATGAACAAAGCTGTAGTAGAGATTGTATGTCTCTGTATTGTTACATCTATATTTGTTTTTGAAAATAAAAACCAACCAGCATATATCATATTTTCTATTTATTATATTTAGAGATAGATTTAAAAACCAAAAAAATATAGTTAAATAATACGTTTATTTTTTTCAATTCAAAAAAGATATTCAAGTTGAAAACTTTTTTTTAATAAAATATTTAAATTTTTTTTTAATTGAAAACACAAATAGAATATTTAAACAAACTGAAAACACAAAGTTTTATAAATTCTTAGAGGTGCTCGCGGTTTGGCGGTTCGATTGCGGCCAAAGGAATCTCAAATCCGCCATCCGTCCGCCAGATTGACGGATTAGAGAAAATCAATCCGTAATCGTTCACTCGTTATCACGCATCCGTCTAAAATGCGACGGATCAGTATAGCTCACCCCTAACCGTAGTAGAAGGGTAGAGGAGGCTATACAAGGACAATGTTGTAAAACCGTTGTCATGGTGTGATGTCATCGTAATTAAGCAAAGGTAATGATGTGTAAATGATTTTGATAAATATACAATGATAGTTAAAGCAAGTAGTTGAATTTGAGAAATCAATGACAGTAAAAAACTGTGGTTATGACTTGGTAGTGGTGTCAATGCACCTTACATAGAAGAAAGAGTATTAAGGGAGAGCGTATAGTAAAATAAATGATAGATAGGGACAAAATTTTAGGAAAAATGACTTCATGAGGTTATTTTTGTTCATTTATAGATAAGTTTTTAGTTGATTAAAAAAAAAAAAATCATAGATATTTCAACCAGTAAAAAAAACTTTAAGTGGACTTCAACTTTAAAAATAATTTTTAAAAAAAAACTTTAAGTGGACTTCGACTTTAAAAATAATTTTTACAAAATTTTATCCCTAATTTTTCCAACAAAAAAAAAAAACATAAAAAATGAAGTTGAATTTAAAAATTTATAAAATTTTGGATTCAAATTGAAAATAAAATATATACTAGTCAATGTTTAAGGTTTTGTTTGGTTAAATTTTCAAAATATACTATATGATTTTTTTAGGATAAAATTACACTAACATTTCTTGAAATTTGTTTTTAATACAAGTACCTTTCCATGTTCTAGAATTACATCTCCTTCCCTAAGGTTTAAATTTTCATTACAATTTAATCATTCCGTTAGTCAACCATTAAGTCAACTAACAGGAAAAATTAATATATAAAATTAATTTTTTAAATGCATTCTTTCCTTTATTAAAAAAAAATTAAAATTTATTAAATGAGTAAAGAAAATTTATAGGGAATTATAAAAATTCACTCAATATATATTATTATATTATTGAACATTTAGATAATGGTATGGTATGCAAATTTTTGTGGTGTTAATTATCACAAATACTATAATTAAATCATTTTTAATCATAACTTAAACCAAATACATTTTAAAATCATAACTATAATAATGTTATAGTCAATAATTGTAACTAATACCATAATGAGTCATAACAAAAAAAAAATGACTAATGCATATAAAATTATTTGTCAATTTTATATATGCAAACAAAAATAAAATAGGCATTTCAAAAAATTAATTTCTTATATTAGTTTTTTCTATTAATTGACTTAACAATTGACTAACGGAAGGGTGCAATTGTATAATAAAAGTTAAATCTTAGGGAGGGGGTGTAATTTATAGAATGTGAGGGAATACTTGTACTAAAGACAAATCTCAAGAGGTGTCAGTGTAATTTACCTTTTTTTATTAAATAATTTGGTGAAAATAATAAAGTAGTGTTTGGGAGAAGAAGATTTCAGCTAAAAAGTCAAAAGTCAATTAATTTTCTATACTTGTTCAACAAAAATTTATTAATTTTCTTTACTTTTCAAAAAAAAAATCCACATACTACAATCACAGCATGCCTCATCCACATAAAGTATTACAATCTGTGGTTCTTAAAATATAAAAACAATTCAAACCACTAAAACTATGAACAAAGCAGTAGTATAGATTGTATGTCTCTGTATTGTTACATCTATATTTGTTTTTGAAAATAAAAACCAACCAGCATATATCATATTTTCTATTTATTATTTTTAGAGATAGATTTAAAAACCAAAAAAATATAGATAAATAATACGTTTATTTTTTTCAATTCAAAAAAGATATTCAAGTTGAAATTTTTTTTTTAACAGAATATTTAAACTTTTTTTTAATTGAAAACACAAATAGAATATTTAAACAAACTGAAAACACAAAGTTTTATAAATTACTAGGGGTGCTCGCGGTTTGGCGGTTCGGTTGCGGCCAAAGGAATCTCAAATCCGCCATCCGTCCGCCAGATTGACGAATTGGAAAAAATCAATCCGCAACCGTTCGCTCGTTATCATGCATCCGTCCAAAATGCGACGAATCAATATATTCGCTGCTCACCCCTAGCCGCAGTAGAATGGTAGAGAAGGCTATACAAGGACAATGTTGTAAAACCGTTGTCATGGTGTGATGTCATCGTAATTAAGCAAAGGTAATGATATGTAAATGATTTTGATAAATATACAAATGATAGTTAAAGCAAGTAGTTGATGTTGAGAAATGAATGACAGTAAAAAACTGTGGTTATGACTTGGTAGTGGTGTCAATGCACCTTACATAGAAGAAAGAGTATTAAGGGAGAGCGTATAGTAAAATAAATGATAGATAGGGACAAAATTTTAGGAAAAATGACTTCATGAGGTTATTTTTGTTCATTTATAGATAAGTTTTTAGTTGATTAAAAAAAAAAAAATCATAGATATTTCAACCAGTAAAAAAAACTTTAAGTGGACTTCAACTTTAAAAATAATTTTTAAAAAAAAACTTTAAGTGGACTTCGACTTTAAAAATAATTTTTACAAAATTTTATCCCTAATTTTTCCAACAAAAAAAAACATAAAAAATGAAGTTGAATTTAAAAATTTATAAAATTTTGGATTCAAATTGAAAATAAAATATATATATATATTAGTCAATGTTTAAGGTTTTGTTTGGTTAAATTTTCAAAATATACTATATGATTTTTTTAGGATAAAATTACACTAACATTCCTTGAGATTTGTCTTTAATACAAGTACTTTTCCACGTTCTAGAAATTACATCTCCCTCCCTAAGGTTTAAACTTTTATTACAATTTAATCATTCCGTTAGTCAACCATTAAGTCAACTAACAGGAAAAATTAATATATAAAATTAATTTTTTAAATGCATTCTTTCCTTTATTAAAAAAAATTAAAATTTATTAAATGAGTAAAGAAAATTTATAGGGAATTATAAAAATTCACTCAATATATATTATTATATTATTCAACATTTAGATAATGGTATGGTACACAAATTTTTGTGGGGTTAATTATCACAAATATTATAATTAAATCATTTTCAATCATAACTTAAACCAAATACATTTTAAAATCATAATTATAATAATGTTATAGTCAATAGTTGTAACTAATACCATAATGAGTCATAACAAAAAAAATGACTAATGCATATAAAATTATTTGTCAATTTTATATATGCAAACAAAAATAAAATAGGCATTTCAAAAAATTAATTTCTTATATTAGTTTTTTCTATTAATTGACTTAACAATTGACTAACGGATGGGTGAAATTGTATAATAAAAGTTTAAATCTTAGGAAGGGGGTGTAATTTATAGAATGTGAGGGGATACTTGTATTAAAGACAAATCTCAAGAGGTGTCAGTGTAATTTACCTTTTTTTATTAAATAATTTGGTGAAAATAATAAAGTAGTGTTTGGGAGAAGAAGATTTCAGCTAAAAAGTCAAAAGTCAATTAATTTTCTTTCCTTGTTCAAAAAAAAATTATTAATTTTCTTTACTTTTCAAAAAAAAAAGTATCAGTTTTATTTACTTTTGTATGTATTTACATAAAAATTATTAAAAAGTCAAATTTCAAATAAACTTTAACAAATTTAAAAATAATCATTTGTTAACATTTTTGTTTTATTTTTTTTAAAACTGAAAACAAAAACTTGTTTGGTATATTATTTTTGTTAAAAAAATGAAATTGTTTGTAAAATTTTTGAAAATACAAATAATGTTTTCACTTGTTCTTAAAACAAGTTCTCACTTTCTTCTCTCATATATGGTCTTTTGCAATCTCACCCACCACTACCACCACTATTACCACATATTGTTGGTAGATGGCAAGTTCTGACCAATCTAAGAAGAAAGGATAGTCACTGTCATAATTTTTGGCCACCTTCTGTCATCCTTTCGACCATATCATAATATTTAATGACGTCTAATCCTAACTCTAACAAATACATCTCTATTTATTTGTTGTCAATTTCGACAACTCATCAAATATATTTATTTGTTTATTTTTAAAATATTTGTAAACCAGTTTTATTTTTTTTGTAAACTGAAAATATTAACAAGAGAATATTTTAATTTTTAAGCGAAAATAATTTTGAAAAATTTTAATATATATAATTTTTGTAATATTTTTTTTAAGAAACCGAATCCAGAAAGATCTGAGAGCATTTAACCTTTTTTCTAAAATCATTTTTCTTCAGTTCTTGTTCTTCTCCAATCGAACACGGCAGCGAACAACAAACAAGCATCGACTGCAAGGTCTCTCTCTCTCTCTCTCTCTCTCTCTAGCCCTAATTTCTGTGCCCTAACTGGTTTTTGGTTTCATTACAATTAAGTCTATTAAATCCTAATTTTGTTTTTCATACTAGTTTCAATCGTTTTAGTTATTCTTCGAAGAATCTAAACCTAGCTCAACTCTATTTCAATGTGTCTTTGAAACATATTCTTGTGGGATTTAATCGGTAAAGAATTTTCTTAAGTAAATTCATTTATATGTCAGTGTGTTGAATTTATGTGAAATTGTGGATTGGAATTTGATTGATTGTATAAACATGTTTCCTAAAAATTAATTTTTTTTTGTGGGTACTAGCAAATAAATTTTAATTGGCCGGCCTTGGTCTTGGCTCGGAACCTAACCCAATTATCGATCAATTGAGTTGGGATGTCGACTGCATCTACATCGGCAAGCTCCGTGTCACTGCCAAGTAGCTCGAACCCCTCCGTTTCTGCACAATTCACGTACTCGAATGGTTCTTACTTTCCGGTGCCTTTTCATCTTCAACAACCTTATGTTGCCGCTCCTCCTCCGCCTCCGGTGATGCAAGTGCACGTGCCGCCGGTGAAGGTTCCTTCTGTGTACCAGGCTCCGGCTCCCCTTCCAGGGGTGTACTCGCTCCCGCAGTATCAGCAGGTGAGTGCATGTTTTTCAATTTGATTCGATTCTCTTATTGTTTAGGTTTTATTTTAATGATTTCATAGGCCAATCTATGTCTATTTTATGCATATATCTTTGTGCTTTTGGTTGGGATTTTACATTGGTTCTTTTTTTTCTTGAACTTGTACTGCATTGATTGGTGGCTTTCTATATGAATTGTGTTGTTAACGATTTTCTTTATCTCCTGTATATTTATTATTTATTTTGCAATATTCATTCTCTTTAAATTTTTCGTGCGTTGATGTTGCCATAATAATGAGGGTAATTACAAAGACCTCTCCTCATGGTTTTGACAAACAAAAAATTGGGAAAAGATTGGAAGGATGGAAGCGAAGAATTGAAAAATGGATGCGAGACTTTCTTTGGGAAGGGTGTTACGAGGGTAGAAGGGATCACTTAGTTAAGTGGAAGGTTGTTTCTCTCCCTAGGGATAAGGGGGGTTCTTGCTATTACAAATATCGTTGCTAGGGACATTTCACTCTTGAGCAAATGGTTATGGAGTCGAAAGCAAGTTGTTACGGTATTCCATTATTAAAAGCAAGTATGGAATTCACGCCAATGGTAGAGATTTTAATGTGGTTTGTAGAGGCAATTGTCGGTTTCCTTGGAAGTCTATTTCTTGTTTATACTCACTAGCAGTGTTTTTAAAGGCTTAAGGCGCAGGAAGGCGCTGAAGGTCTTTTGGGACCTAGGTGCAAGGCGAGGCAGAGGCTTTATTAAAGCAAGACGCATAGTCTTAATAAAAAATAGATAAATTAACATAGACTAATCCTTCATAGTACTTAGACAATTTTTTTAAACAAAAAGTAATCAAAACAAATTATAGAATAATTCTCAAAGTCATGAAAGTGCATATTACATATCATTCTAATTTTCAAAGGTAAAATAATCAACATTCAAAAAAAAAATAAAAATAAAATAAACGCTAAACATCTAAAACATAAATGTCCAATAAATACTAATATAAGTCTTAATATTTCAAAGCGTCAATATCATAAGAAAGGTAAGGTTAGGTTAGGTTAGGTTAGGTCAGGTCAGGTCAGTCAATCATCATTCTTAACATCAATGGCAAGCAAACCATCATCTTCGTCTCCATCAGTTGAAGATGACCACCTAGCAGCAGCAACAACAAAGAAGCAGCCAAAAAAAAAAAAAAAAAAAAAGGGAGACAAGGCGACAACATCTAGCAAAGAAGAAGAGGAGGAGAATGAGAAGAAGGGAAAAAAAAAAACCTAGTAGCATAGCAAATAAGGAGCCAAAAAAAAAAACAAAGATGAAGAAGAAGACGAAAAAGAAGAAGAAGAAGACTTACCTGAAGTTGAAGTTGAAGTCCTCAATCAAAGACGAAGTCGCAATGAGTTGCAGACTGCGCGAAGAGAAGACGACACCTTTCTTCGATAGATTTTAGGGCTTTGAGTGTTGACTGTTGGGTATTAAGTTGTATGAGTTGCAATCGTATGTGTTGGACCCATTCAAACTTAGATCAAAGCCATTAGATAAGCATCAGGGGAAAAACAAAATACAAAAGGGCACGCTTAAGCGTCGCCTTGCCCCAGTTCGCGCCTGACCTAAGGCTCGGCCAAGGCGCGCAACTCATCTACCTCGCGTCGCCTTAGGTCACTTTAGTCGCAGAAGCTGTGCCTCGCTGCACGTTGCGCACTGCTCACTAATGTCTAGTTTCTTGTCTTTCAAAGTGGGTAATGGGGGTTAGTATCCTGTTTTGGGAGGATGTTTGGATAGGAGATACTTTTTTCGATAGAGCTTTTCCATTGCTATACAGGTTGGTTCGTTCTCGGAATGTTTCAATTGTGTTAATGGCATGTTCTAATGTGGCACCAATCTCTTGGAATTTCAATTTCTTTGGGAATTTAAGCGAGAGGGAGTCTCTTGAGTTGGCATCTTTGTTGTCATGAATTGATGGAATTTCTTTACCTTCATATAGCGATAAAAGGGTTTGGAATATCATCTCTTCAAGGATTTTCTCATGTAAGTCTTTGTTTGACAAACTCATTGATAAACCTTCTATTCATTCGTTTCCTCTTCATGAGAAAATTTAGAAAGTAGTTGTTCCTCATAAAGTGAAAATTTTCTTGTGGTTCTTAGCTCATGGAGGTGTCATGACCAATGATCTCTTCCAAAGGAGATGCCTAATCACTTTCTTTATTCTCAATGGTGCGTGATGTGCAAGAGGAATTCGGAATCAGTGGATCATTTATTTCTCCATTGTTTGATGGCTCTTTTATTACGGTAATGTCTTTTCGGTTTGTGTGATGATCAGTTGGTTGCTCTGAGGGAGTGCGCACATATACTTCTTGTTAGGTTTGAAGGGTTTGGTGGCTACAAGAGAGCAAAATCTTTGTGCTCTTGTATTGTTTTAGCTATCTTTTGGTCTATTTTGCTGGAGAGTAATGCATGGATCTTTGATGGCAATGACTCAAATGTAGAATCTCTATGAGATAAGACGGGATATTTGGCTTTGCTTTGGGCTTCTATGTCTCGTCCTTTTAAAAGAGTTTTATTTTTCTTGATTTATAGGGATTGGGCAGCTGTTTGCCATTCTTATGTATATGTACACAAACACAAACAAAACACTATGTATGGAGAGAGGGAGATGGGTCTTGTTCAGTAGAACAAGTGAGCGAAAGCGAGAGAACATACACAAAAAATAAATTAGTTACATGACTTGCAGATTCAGGAATTTGCAATTCAAAGACGGATTATTTTGAATGGATCGAAGATAAGAGGGAGAATGTGGAGGGCAAAAGATCAAGATCTCCAATATATCTGAATTTAGTGATAAGGTTTGCACAGAGAGAGTTGGATGTTATTTTCAGTGTTGGGCATGTGAATCTTGTGGCTTTGAGGGGGTATTGCACTGCTACTATTGTAGCGAACCACCATCACCACCACTTACTTAGAAGGGCACAACACAACCGCTATTGCACCAAACTACCAGCACTCGGGCCATTCCCCACTGTACCCACCGTAGTCGCCACACCATCAAAACTAATCCAAATCACCACACACCACTAAAACCCATCCAAGTCAACTACCTCCTTTGTCTCAGACACACACAAGTAGTGGGTATAGCACTGGAGGCAATAGGTTTAGCCATGGGGGTGGCAACTAGGCAGTAACAAGAAATTGACAAAAACAATAAATTATATCAAAGTAAATAAAATAGGAAAACGAAATTATCTCAAATCCAAAAACTTAATAGTTCTATTCTACATTAACTTGGAATATTCATAATCAAATATTAATTTTAAAATAATAGAATAAAAATATAAGGCTCTTGTTTGGTAGAGTTCTGGAATCCTAATTCCACCCCTTACTTTGAGTGTCATGTTTGGTTAGCGTGTTTAAAAATTGATTTCACACCCACTTTTCAAAACACGTCTACCCGGTCGGTTGACCGAAACAGTGTTCGGTTTTTTGTTTTTATTTTTTAGCACCTATTATTTTTATATTTTATATAAAAATATTTTCGGAATTTTTTAAATTTTTTTTATGAGTTTTGAATAGAATTTTGGGTTGTGTGTTTGGGTTGTGTGTTGTAAGTTTTTGAATCAAATATCATATGTCACATCATTCATTTCAAACTCAATTCAAAATTCTTTTCAAAACTTATAACCAAACAAAATTCACTCAAATCATAATTCCAAAACTCACAAACTCAAAATACAACTCTATTTTCAAATCATAATTCTAAAACTCTACCAAACCCTACCTAAATCTCCCAAAATCTCGTCTGCATCATTCTCTCCTAGTTGAGAAAACTTGTCTTAAAATGTTGTTTGCATCATCTCTAAATGTGATTAAACTATTATAATTAACATACTTCTAGATTGATTTTTGTTTAACAATTAGACATCTAATGAAATATTTTTTGCTTTTTCAAATTAATCATGTTAATAATACGTTTCTACGAGCATTATGACTCATTTTTTTTATTATTATTTTTTAAATGTTTTTTTATATCAAAATTTACTTTATTTAGATTTTAGTTTATTATATTTGATTTATTTTTTCCTCTTAAAATAACTTTTAAGGTTTATATTGGAAAATATATTTGGGATTGTTTTGGATTGTAAATTCACTGTTTTAGAATGAAAGTGTACCACATTTGAGAACATGCGTTTCATAACATAATTGTTAGGGTATTAATGTTTTGTGGTAACAGTGGCCATTATTGTGGACAGGATGAGGTGGTGAGAAAGATATAGAGTGGAATGCAATTTGCAATTAGGGTTAATTAAAAATGAGGTTTGATTAGGTGTGTCACATGTGTGGGTGTGCACTGTGCACTGTAGTCTATTAAAATGGTTTGGTCAATTTCGATTTTATTTGGTTTGCAAAGTACTATAATCATAGCCAATTTGGTGTTGAACTTTTTTACTGATTCAGAACCCAACAAACTTGCTTGCTTCTAAGAAACCAACCAAAGCTGACCGTTTTTGACTGATTCAGTCAGTCAAAATGGTTAAAACGGTCAGTCTAAACAGTTTGACTGGTTTTCTTTACAGCCCTACCAATGAGTAAGTGCAATAATACGTCTTTCCAAAAAGTAAAAGCTTTTTCTTTCAAAACAATTGGATTTATTACTTTAGTTTACTGTTGTGGGAAGAGAATACTGTAATGCTTTTGTGTGCAGACATCATGAGTATAATGTTTGTAGTATCTGTGTCCAGGCACAACAGTTATTTCAAAGAGATGCACAAACTATCACACCGGAAGCTCTTGAAAGTGTAAAGGCTGCTCTTGCAAGCAGTGAAATTGAGCACAAAGCAGAAACAAAAAAGAAAGCAATACCTCGTAAAGCTGCTGGGCAAAATTGGGAGGACCCTACTCTCACAGAATGGCCAGAAAGTATTATTCCTTGCTTTTATCTCTAGTAGATTTTTATTTTGATCAATGAGCATGACAGGTTTGTGCAAAATGTGTTACCATGGCCATGTGCTATGATTTTTTCTTATTTTATTTTTACAGACTGTTATTTTTTTGGTTGAACAACGAGAAATAATGGCCTTGTTTGGTTTCTCGAGAGACGATTTTTGAGAAAAAATTTCAAAAATTTGTTTGGTTGAAAATTTTTGAAAAAAAAACCTAAATCACTTTTCTTTTTACTACACATCAATCAATTACTTTTTCTCTCTCTCCTCTCTCTTTTCTCCTCTCACATTCTACATATCAATCAATCATTTTTTCTCTCACACCCATCTATTTTTTCTACAAAAAATAAAAAATAAAAAAAATTTAAATCATCTCAAACTCCAAAACTATCTTCAAAACATACAACCAAACAACTTTTCAAATCTTGTAAACTCTTTGCAGAATTTTTTTTTTCAAAATTGTTTCACAAATACAAACCAAACATGGCCAATGTCTTTGGTTGAAACAACAATGTTTCGAGCTTTCTTTGTTCTGGATCACAATCGTGCTCCTTATGAAACTTAGTCTTTAAGCCTCGTTTGGGAACAGGCTAATTTAGTAACTTTTTGGCTATTTGGCTAAAAAAGTAGGTAAAAAAAACTTATATGTTTGGGATGACTTTTTGGCTAATTACGAAAAGATGTGCAAAAAGTAGAGAGAAAAGAGAATCTTTGACTTTTTGGTATGAGTTGTTGGTTTTTTGGCTAAAAAGGTTACTTTTTGGCTTTTTGGCTAAAAAAGTAAGTCCCCAAACAGTAGAACTTGGCTCATTTTAGTTTTTTTTTGGGTTGTGGGTGTGGCTGTTTGTACAATTTGTAGTGTGTGGAGCTTGGTGACTAGTGTCAGTATCATGTGGGATTTGTTGGCATTAAATGCAATAAGGAAGATTTGGGTAGTGAAGGTAACTTTTTGGCTTTTTGGCTAAAAAAGTAAGTACCCAAACAGTAGAACTTGGCTCATTTTAGTTTTTTTTTGGGTTGTGGGTGTGGCTGTTTGTACAATTTGTAGTGTGTGGAGCTTGGTGACTAGTGTCAGTATCATGTGGGATTTGTTGGCATTAAATGCAATAAGGAAGATTTGGGTAGTGAACTGCCTGCTGTTGTTTCCAGCTTGTGCATAGAGTGATGGATGCTGTTAACCTGTGCTTTTTCCTTTAAAGGTTGGAGGTGTTGGAAGGATTTTTGGCTGGGGATGTTGCTATGTGGTTTGGAGGGTTTTGTAGAGACATGGTAATGAGAACAAGTGTTGAGAGATCAAACAAGAAGGCTTCCTATGGGATGCTTGCTTTCTTAGGATCTTGAGGGAATATATCTTTCTTGCAATTTTGTTTACTAGTAACACAAATGTTCTCTTTGCGGCCACTCTATTTCAAAATTATGACGTCATGTTTATGACAAGCTATTCCTTTTAAATAACTTTTGTATTGTTTTTAGTCATTTAGACTTGAAATGTGATGAATTGTGGGATTGATGGAAGCATGGGTGCTTGGGGTGTTTGTTTATAGACGAGGTTACCTTGTCCTATGGTTTGAACTTATGGCTAGGGACTAGGAAGGAGATTCCCATGTCCTATGGTCTATGCTTATGGCAAGGGCAGAGGAAATGTAGGAAGGGTTTTTTAAATGAAGTTTATCTTCTTGCTAGAGAAGGTGAAAGGTTGGCTTTTGGAATGATGTTTTGTGTTGGTGTTCCATGTTGAGAATCACCTCATATAGGATTGTTGAGGATAGAAGAGTCTTGGTGGCTGATTGTTTGAAGTTGAGTCTAGTGGGTGATGGTGATTCAGGATTCCTCATAAAAACTAATCAACCACTGTATTCCCCAACTGGATTTCACCTCCAAGAATACAAGTATGAAGAAAATGATGTTAATTTAACACAATAATTATCACTTAAAATCTTGTTTAACTTATTTCGCAACCAAGAAACAAATTTACCACAAGAAGCCAAAAGTGTGACTTGAGCCTACTTTGCTAAGAGAAGAGAGAGAAGGAAAAGACACACGGTAGAAAGCAACCCTTCCAACTAGCCAACCTGCGGAGTTGAACACAACACTGACTTCAGCCAGGTTCTTCCATCAATCTCTTGGCCCTTGCTTAACTTCTTGTTTTGTAAACAGGTCGTTGGTTGATCTGATCCCTAGCGTGTTATAAACCTAACGTTGTGTTTGGTTGGAGGATTTGAGAAGGAATTTGGAAACAAAAAGGAAAAAGGTGTGTAAAACTAGGTGAAATATAAGTGTATTTTATTCACATTTCACCTATATTTTTTTTTTTCCTTTTCAAATTTCCCAACCAAACACGGTGTAAAGGAAAGGAGTTACATCCTACTCCCAAAGGAAAGAAGAAAGCCAACCAAGAAGAGAGCTACTAGTAGCTAGGGTAGAGGCACATATAGCTACGAGAGCCACTAGAAAGGGAAGCACTTAGCACAGTTAGGAGGGAAGGCTACCTTCTGCCAGAGTGCTCGAGCCAGAGAGAATTGACGTTTTTTAACGTATGAATTCATGTTCAAAGCAGATTGTCTTCATGCTCAATCAGTAGCAAGTTGACTTCATCTCGGGGGACCAGTCCAGGATAGGACCTTTTGGGTGGAAACTACTTTGTTATCTTGCATTCTACATTTGCATTAGAGACAGACAAGCTTGATTATTCGAAAAAGAGCTCTAGAAGTTCAGCCGGTGTTCTTTTATCTCTTAAAATATTTCGAAATTGAGAATCTGAGACTTGCCCAACCTAGTAAAGGGGCTTGAATCGGTATTTTGTTTAGGGATAAGCCCATGCTCAGTGACTTACCTCCTCCTGGGGTACACCAACTGTTACTGGGATGTGGTGGTGGAACCACAGACAATGGTCACAAAAGAAAGGAAGAATCTTAACGTTCCAATGATAGAAAGGCTTCCGGGGAACGAGGACAACCTGATGATCTTCGCCCCTGCACAACGATGATACGCACAAATCGAGAAATGGTCCAATTTTTTAACCCCAAGGGGTTGGCTTGGTGGCAAGATCTTGGGTCTTGGGGGTGTGTTCCCTCCAAGATTCAGGGATCAAAACCTCTTAAGTGTTAACAATTCCTTGGGGTTATGAGATTGGGAAAAAACTCTTGAATTAACCGTGGTACACTTGTAGGAAGCTCCTTGCTGAGGGCCTGTGCATCCCTGGGATTAGTCGGGCTTTGATTCGGACACCCTGGTGCCAATCAAAAAAAAAAAAAAAATTCATAGAAATTAGTAAATCACAAAATATCACAAAAATTTTGCACAAAATTAAAGCAAATATCAATAAATCAATACAACCATAAATCAATAAATCAAGACCTGCGAACCAATTTCCTGAGAGAGTGGAGTTACAGTGAGGGTGGAGAGTTACCAAGGAATGGAGTCACTGTAGAGGTCTTCATTGACAACGAAAGATGAAGAGAGATCTTTACTGTAATTGGTGTGAAGGATGAGGGATCGAATATTGAGATAGAGATGAGGGATGGGATTGAGCGTTGAGAGAGAGATGAGGGATATGATTGAATGCTGAGGGAGAGGAATTGAATGGGTGAGGGGTGAGAGACATGAGGGACCATCATTGTGTTTTGGGATCTAGGGTGAGAGAGAGAGAGAGAGAGAGAGATGGGAAAAGTGCCAAGAGAGATGAGAGATTAACTCTCATATGTATTCTTTTGGGTATCAATTAGATATGTTTGTTTACTCATCAAAATGGCATCTGCACTAGTGGAGTAACATTGTTAAAATTTGGCATTTTAGCACTTTAGCATGTCAAATTATGACTTCGGAATTACCATTTTGGCAATAACCAGTGGAGATACTTTTAATTGGAAAAAACCCTGAAATGATACAAATTCCTTTATTGCTGCCTTTCAGAACTTGCAATGCTAATGGGAAAAGTATTTGGCACAATTGTGAGGAAACGACGTACTAACCTGTTTTTGTACTGTTATGAGTTGTTAGTGATATGCTAACATTACAACTCTCAATTGTGATATTCATTCAAGCAGAAAGTCGAAATAATCCCAATTTACTTTTTTCTTTGTTGATGTGCCCTGCTTCAAATTTGAAGTCATTGCAAGAGTCAAGGTGTATAGTTCTCTATGATGATTTTGCATTTTATTTTTTGTACATTGTTCCATCACAATGTTCCTGCTTTGCGTTTCCAATGTTGCTATTATGCCTAGTTCACTGGGTGCATCCCTCATTGTTTTGATTCTGTTTGTATTTTTGCAGATGATTATCGTCTATTTTGTGGTGATCTTGGAAATGAGGTGAATGATGATGTTCTTTCTAAAGCATTTTCACGATTTCCTTCATTCAACATGGCTAGGGTAAGTTCGTATTGGAATTGCTCCACTTTTGCTTTTGTATCAACTTTATGATTTGTTATTTACTTGGTGTATTTGAGGCTTTTGTATGCCCTCTTCAGATGTTTATGTGAAGTGCATGGAGTTCTCAAATTTCTCATATATTTTAAGGTAGGATTCTCTGCAGTCTACAATGTGTATAGTTTGCAATATGAAAAGCACAAAAATGTTGAAAGAAAGTGTTGCTAGTTGCAATAGGGCTCTGCAAAAGTCTAGTAGACATAAAATTGAATATATAAAATGTAACTTTACTGACAGTAGAAGTAGAAATAATGGATAAGTAAAGATTGAAGGCCAAGAGAGGACAAATAGTGAACATTTTCGTTACCTAGGTTTGATTATTAAAAAAGGAGAGATTGGAGATGATTTGATTCATAGAATCATAGTAGGTTGGCTTAAATGGAGAAGTGCGTTTGGCATATTATGTGATTGACAAATACCAACCAAATTAAAATGTAAAATGAAAATTTTATAGAACATCTATGAGGCCAACGATGCTTTGTGGGACATAATGTTGGATAACTAAAAAACAACACATTCATAAAATGAGTGTAGTTGAGATGAGAATACTTAGATGTGCCATAAGACTAGAAAAAATAGAGCTAGAAATGAATTTATTCATGAAATGGTATGAGCAACACCAATGGAAGATAAGTTGATAGAGAATAGGCTAAAATGGTTTTGGTCATGTACAATGAAGATGTATAGATGCAATGGTAAGCAAGAATGATATGATCACTATAAATGGAAATGTTAGGGGGAGGGGGAAGACTTAAATTGACATGGGATGAAGTAGTAAACAAAATATATGAATTTATTTAATTTTACTTAGCAGAATGACAAAAAAAGATTCATGTAGCTGACCCCACTTGATTTGGACACAAGGCCTCAGTTTGGTTTGGCTTCCTAATGAAGAAAATTTGATAAATCAAAGGGCTAAAATGTGTCAAATTTAGTTTGCAAATCTGTGTTCGTGCAGCGCAACTCTCAGTTTCTGATTTATAAATTTAAGAAAATATGTAACCAGCTGTCAAATATTATTTTCTTTCATAAGAAGAAACTGCTTTTATTTATTTATTTATTTTTTTAAAGCTTTTACATACATAATGCATGTTTACATTATGTTTGTGTGTACACACATGTTGCTGTGTCCTTGGTGTTGTAGAAGAATTGTCGAGCTCATCAACTCTTTGAGTTGAAGTTATTATAGTAGAGAAATGAAAGCAGGCTACTCACCAAAAGATCCTCCAGTAGTAGTTCCTTTCCCAGTTCCCATTCAAGTTTATATGCATAATGCTCAATTTCTGGATGCCTCCTACTTTGCAATGAGTTTGTTCATCCCATAACCAGAAAATGAGCAATTTTGTTTGTGAAAATTACTAAGATAGGCAGATTCATGTTAGTTGAACCGAGTGAGGCATTATCTGTAAGAAGATGGAGATTTGGTCAATGGTTACTGGTGTAAAAGAGCTTGATTATGGTGGTAAAATAGTATGGTATGATGTGGATTGACCTACTTGAAGAAGTAGGTGTGGTCTGATACCCAATTAGGTGCCTTCTGAGAACTGCTTCCTTCTTTATATGTTTGGTAAACCTAGCACTAACCTCACGGCTGTTCCAGCCCTTATTTTGTTGTGCTTTGGAAACTGCAGATTTGAGGCTTTGGCAAATGCTGCATGTTTTGCAATTTATTTTCTGATTGTTGCCCTTGTGGATGGAGTAAGTTAAATGAAAAATAGAGGGATCTTAAGTGAGATGCTCATCTTCTCCAGCTAGTGTCAAATGATTGCTTTATTTCCAAGTGATGACCATGTGGATGAACATGGTTGGTAGGTACAAATAAAACAATTTTCTAATTTAGATTGTCTCGGAAAGTTCTTCTGCTTTTTGTGAAGTGCTTTGTTAAAGTCATGATGATAAGCGATTCCATTTACCATCAAATGATAACATAGAACTGAAAATTTTGTTTTACTACTTGCTATATAACGAAAATCATTGTATGAGCAATTAACCTGAGTTGGTCCACGCATGGTTTTCTATGAGAATTACACACTTTGGTAGGCAATTTCTCATACTGCGTTCTTCTCTTAATAGAAAAAGAGAGACCATACATTTGTGATATCATGGTTGTTGTTCCTGTCTTGCAATTCCCCATTTTATTTTGTATCTGGTTTGCATGTATCCATTTACCTTTGTTTCTTGCTTGGTGTTTGTATTTATGAGCAGATCATTTGATCAGCCATCAGCCAATGCATTGGTGGGCCATAGTTGTGCTTGTATCATTTTATGCATTTCTTTATCCTTTTATTCCTTTGTGCTATTATTGCCTTCATGTATCTTTTCTTCTTCTCTAATATTTTGGGGACGGTTTGTATTTCTTACACGTTTGGACATTAATCAAAATATGAGCCTGCATTTTTCTATTGTCATAGGTTGTCAGAGATAAGCGTACTGGCAAAACCAAGGGCTATGGATTTGTTAGTTTTGCCAACCCTTTAGATCTTGCAGCAGCACTAAAAGAAATGAATGGTAAGTTTGTCATAGACACCCTATTTTTATTAGCATGATTTGTTGTTACCATTCAAAACTTTGATGTTGAAGAAAATAGCTGTATCAGAATGAATTAATCATACCTGGGTGATTAAATTTGGGCTTCTGCAATTTCTTCACAGCAGATAATTTAGGATCATCATCTTTCCTTTCAGAATGATTTATGTGATTTTGAGCTGCTGATGTGATGGTGAATCAGCTATAATATTATTCACAAGTGTAACTGAGTCAGTGAGGTGATTAGTGGTGGTGGTTATGGAGACAAGATGTACTTGTAAAGTCTGATATCTGAAATGTTTACCAAAGAATGATTAGAAAAGGAATGTTCTCACATAATTGATTATTTGGACTGCATAGGAGGCTGTAGTAGTTTCGTGGTGTTCCATTTAAATTGATACTGTAGTTTAGTTTTCTAACAATGTTATTATTTACTGGGGGATGGAAATGGGATGAGGGATCTAGCGGGATGTCTAAAGTTCTGTCAGAAGATGGGGAGTAACATTATTATTTTACCTTGATTGCAGGTAAATATGTTGGAAATCGTCCAATCAAACTACGTAAGAGCAACTGGAGAGAGAGGACAGATCATGAAGCCTTGGAAAGACAAAAGGTGCACTTTCACTTTTCCATTGCTGGCTTTTTAATGCATTCACTGACAGTGGCCTTTTTGCTGTGAATTATAATTAATAGTTTTAAAATTTGGGCAGAATCACTCTCAAAGGAAACCAAAGCTTTCAAAGAAGAGTGTGTTGCACAAGTGACCACCAAAGCCTACTGATGGTAACCAAGGTAATTAAATAGAATTAGACCTTAAATGCTTTTCCTATTTTTGGTTTTTTCTGTGTTTATGAGTTGGGTTAAAGCACGCCAACCTTATTATTATTGTAAAAAATGTGTACAGAATTTTGTGAACTCCATGCTGATATATCTTGTGTCTTTTAAGTGGGCATTTTCAACATTTCTTCGTGACATCTTTCTCATTCCCTTGCCAGTCGACACATGTTCTCCCTCTGAATAGTAGTGTTTAAAGAAAATAGTAACCAATCATGCATGTAACCATAGGTGATAGCAATGATGGTTTAAAGTTTTTTAAGGATTTTTAAGGGGCTAAGATTCTACACAATTCAATATTCCTTATAATTGCAAAATGGGTTGGTGGGATAAAAATTCGAGACTCTATGGACTTGTCATATGTGCTACAAAAAGATAAAATATGAGTAGTATTGTCATGCTCAATTATTGCATTCTCTCTTACAGGTTCAGAAAGAAACTAGTAGCTACACACTACCATGTATGCTTACTCTGATCCAGACAAAGAACCCTTGAATTTAATTTTTTGAGTTTTACTAATAAAATTTATAATAGTCAAGAAATCTTATCCTCACGTAATTTGCAACCTTCAACCAGGGCAGTTAGGGTTTCGGTAAGGGGAAGTAACCACCTTTGTGAGAGAGAGGGAGGGGGAGGGGGTTCAAGGCAGCTGTTCTGGATATTTAGAACTAAAAAGATTTTGCTTTCAGGTAAACTTCTATAATTGAGGCTTCTAAATACCTTTCATGAAATTCGGTGCCAGTATTGAGAATTCTCATACTGTTAAATACCTTTAAGGAAATTCAGTGCAAGTTTTGATAATTCTCACCATTAAATACCTTTCAGAAAGTTGGTGCCAGTTTTGAGAATTCTTGTACTGTTAAAAAATTAGGTCTTAAAAATAGATACTCTTGAATCTATTGCCACTGAAACCTACACCTGAACGCAGTCCTAATGGTTATGTACTTAGCAGTAAAATTATCCCCCTCCGAACATTTTCCCTTTATTTTGATTAAAACATAATGTGCAACATTATTGATTAATTTTTTCCTGGTCACAACTATAAGTGTCTCTCACTGAATGCGTTGTGTCTATTTTATTATCCTGTGCTTTCAATTTGGTTTAACCTCTTATTGGAGTAAAAGTGAAAAACTACAAATTCTTATTGATGAATTCTCCCTCTTTATTATCCTTGTCTCTTTTTCTTTTTTTTTATTATTGTTATTATTTTTTTTGCTTTGACATCGTTGTCTGCATTTTTTTCCCTTTTCTTATTGTTCATTTTTTTCCCTTCAGGTTGAGAAAAGAGTAGTGAATCCTCTAAAGCTCAAGGAGAATCAAGAACTCTAGTTATTATACTTTGGTAGACATCTCATGACAACTTGTAGACATTTGTGTACTAGATGGGTTATATTTTTGTGTCAAGGCTTCCGTATTTATAGATTTTAAATTTTTAAATGATATCGTTGACTGAGAAATTTCACTGTATTTATAGATTTTTGATTTTGAAGTGATATTGTTTGACTGAGAAATTTCACTGTATTTATAGATTTTTAGTAGGGGCACCAAGGTGATGTAGATTTTTGCATCACCTTGTGCGTCTTACTCCATGATTCTGCCACGTGTCCCTGCTGAGTAACTCGTAGATTTGTGCTAATTTTTAGCTCCCAAATGGAGGACGTACATTTCTCTTAGTCAAATTATAAGGGGGTAAAAGTTCTCCTTGATTGGTAACCTACAAAATCTGCAATGGCAGGTCTAAAAGATTACCTACATGGATCTCATACCAATCCAATGCACAGATGCCTGATTCTTGTTCATTAATTTTTAGGTCATCGTTTAAATACTACCATCGGTTTTTTTGGGCTTTAAGCTCACCTTGAGAAAGTACTTGCAGATTTTTTGTGTGGGTTTTTTTTGGTCCTAACCTCTACATTCACAGGTTTACATTAATTGTTAGGTTCCTAGATGGGAAAATTAGTCTAAGGTCCTTCTCTCATTTTTAGTAATGAAAGAGATTCGCAATATTATTTTATGTCTAAGGTTTCTCAACCTCACACTCATATATCACAGAGAAATTTGATTATCTCACATCAAATCCCATTTTTCTATCACTATCTTTTCTATTTCATCTCTCTACCTAATTTAAACGTTTCAAATAAACAATTTGTATACAAAAATTTAAACATATATACCTATGTGTATGTACATAAGTACAGTAGTTGTCCTTCACCTAGACGAAATTTGCGAAAATTTTGATGCAAAGTTGGAGCATAACACTAATATCGAATCAATTTCACAAAAATGGTCTTTGAGATTGATGAATTATAGAAATAATATATATATATATATATATAATTGTGTATATGATGAATATATGAAGATAAGGTGGTGATCGATGAGATGGATCAGGCTCATCGAAGCGTGAAGGGTTTTGCTTTTCTCCACAGCCAGCAGTGTCTTCCAGTGGACACAATGTAAATCCTCTTGATCTTTTTTCACAGGGCCTTTCAACTATGGGTTCAAATGCAAGTGTTAGCAATTTGGAAAGGTTTGTCTGGAAATTTCTCTGGGTTGTGAAGTCTAGAGAGATAATTTTTTTGGAAAAATTTGTCTGGAAATTTTTCTAAGCTAGGGAGTTCAGAGAAATTTTGAATTTTCTCTGTGATGTGTTCAGAGAAATTTGAAATTTTCTCTGTGATGTGTCTAGAGAAATTCTCTGAATCAAATTTTCTCTGGATTGATGTTGAAGGACCTTTAGACATTATGAAAATATTAAGTGTCTTTTATACTATAAAATCTTAATACTACGTACCTTAAAAAAAAAAAATCTCCTTAGATTGTAGTATTTAGAATATTTAAATCATGAATTTAGAAGGAAAAAAAGAGAGGACAATATTGATGAAATATAAACTATAAATTTTCTTTTTCTTTCTTTTTTTTAAATTTAATTTGTATTTTATTTTTTTAAATTTATAATTCAAACAAAACAATAACTAATGACAGTATAACCAAAACAAAACATAGAAACACTTTTTACCCTTGTTTTTTTAAATTTATAATTCAAACAAAACAAAATGATAACGACAGTATTATAACCAAAACAAAACATAGAAACACGACTCACAAATTCAAGCCAACGGATTGGGTGGCTTGGCGGGTTTCACATATATATATATAATCAAACAAATCAATGCAATTGTTCCTTCAATTAATATTTTTATATATAAAATCAATATTTTAGAGGGGGTTGATACACAAAATTATCAATATTAAAAATCAATTTTTTTAATTATATAGAAATTATCAAATCCAACTTTAAATCCATAATAGAATCTCATCTATTTTAAACAAAATCGAGAAAATTATTACCAACTTATCAAATTGCATGTAAAAGAAAAAACCCTAGAGGGCAACAAAATGATAACGACAGTATTATAACCAAAACAAAACATAGAAACACGACTCACAAATTCAAGCCAACGAATTGGGTGGCTTGGCGGGTTTCACATATATATATAATCAAACAAATCAATTTGCAATTGTTCCTTCAATTAATATTTTTATATATAAAACCAATATTTTAGAGGGGGTTGATACACAAAATTATCAATATTAAAAATCAATTTTTTTAATTATATAGAAACTATCAAATCCAACTTTAAATCCATAATAGAATCTCATCTATTTTAAACAAAATCGAGAAAATTATTACCAACTTATCAAATTGCATGTAAAAGAAAAAACCCTAGAGGGCATTGAATTTCAGCTTAAATTCATAAAATCCAACAACTTAAATTGCTTACACTGAATTTCAGTTTATTTTACGAAACAATCAACAATTCCAGCAGATTCAACAACTAACCCCTACAATTTTAACAAAATGTCACTCAACTTTGCCTAATTAGACCATCTCTAAAAGTTCATCAAACTTTGTATCAGATTTGAAATTTGATAAAAAAATCACTTTTTGAAGCTCCAATAGTTTCATCAAATTGGTATCAAAATAAGAATGGAACAAAAAATTCATCAAAGTGAGAACAGACTTCAGATTTCACCATTTCACTGTGCGTTACTGTTGGAGTGGGCCAACCGCCGGTCGACCAACCAGTCGACCGGTTCCCTTTCAAATAGGTAGGTTCCAACCAGTCAAAAAAAAGTTAAAAAAAATAAAAAAATTACACTTACCGGTCGACCAGCCGGTCGATCCTTCCCTTTTGATGCTCTTTTGATGCTCGGTTGGAACAAACCATATCAGATTGAGAAAATTGACTTTTTTTTTACTCAAATTTGGTGAAAATTTTGATTCACCATTAGAGATGCTCTTACCCAGCAATTTTTGCTTAATTCCATAAAAATAATAATAATAATAAATAAATAATTTACACATTCATATTCGCCAGACAATCCAACAATTTCACTCAATTACAGTAAAATTCCAGTTCAATTTCATCATATAACAAACAAAAACAGCTGCCTACTTCCCTCGGAAGCAGCAAGAACCTGCTGCTTTAAAAAACAGCACCGCAGTCACATACATCAGCCACCAAAGAGACATCAATAACAGGATCTGAGGTCCAAACATATCAGCGGAAATAGCCTTCATGTCATCAGCCAACAGCACCGACACGAGCACCCAATCAAACAGCCTTACTATGAAGACAAGGGACCCAAAAAAAAGAAGAAAAAAAAACACGCAAACACCCTCTAAGCATCGAGCTTCAAACAAGAATCATCATCATCCACACAGATTCAACATTAGCTGATACTGCATCCACCGTCAGAAAAGCAGAAATAGCAGAGGCAAAACCACCAAAGCTCAGCAGCACAGCATCTGCTGCAAAATATACCACGACGACCTTAACTAGAACATAGCTCCAATCCAGAAGAAAACAACCACAAATTAACACAGTGGCATGGCAAGAAATAGGCAAATTTTAAAATAAAAAAAACAAACAAACAAAAACATGGCACTTCTAGATTCAACCTAGCAACCAAACCTGCCTCCCCCTATAACCTGTTTTTACACCAGCAACAAACTGAATCAAGAAGGTCCCTGTCAGCAACCTTTCGAGATAATTAACAGTTCTCTAACCATGAATAAAACTAAGAAATTTTTTTTAGAAAAATCATAGCATCTGTTAATTATGATGCAATTAAAAAGGGGGCAAAAAGAAATGAACAATTCAAAATGACAAGAAGCATAATGCAACAACTAAGGATACAAAGGAGGATACATGTGTGGAAAACTGCTGAAGCCGGAATGACTTCTTACTGCAAAGTTTTGCAAACACATGAAGTCAAGAACAAGCTTCACATAAAAGGGAATCTTTTGCCTAATTAGATCCAGATAAACTACTATTTATGCAAGACTAAGATGACTTACCGCACATGTAGAGAGCTGCTCAAAAACACGAGTGCGGAAAAAGAAACCATGCCATTATTGGAATACTAAATATCACTTTTGAGTGGTACTAATCTTCATACATGTTGCGGGATTCAGAGGGATCATATCTGTCCTCAAACTCTTGGGATGTAACAGAGCCTGATCTGCGATCCCTGTATGCATGCCTTTGTCGTCTATCTTTCGTTTCTGAATTCCAATCACTTTGCTCCGTTCGACGATTAGTCTGCCGCTCATGTGACCGGCTGTGGCCGGAATCTGAGCTCCGGGAAAAATTCTTCATGCACCATTCCACATTATTTCGATGCTCACGATTACTACTGTGGTCACGTGAGCGGCGCCTATCTGGGCTTTTGGAATAATAATCTCTATCACGCCAGTCTCTCTCTACACTTCTCCGAGTGTCTAAATGCTCATGGTGCCGACTAGAATCCTGTCTATGTCGCTTACGATCTTCAGAAGACACATGCTCAAATCTTGTAGATCTGATATTATTATGAGAATCTAACTGTTTCTTGTAACCATGAGTCCATTCTCTGCTTATTTCGGATGAGTCACAAACATTTTTCTTTAGCTTATCCACATCTGAAGAGATGTCATGCAAAGAAGGTTCGGGTGTGAACTTCCCAGCTTCCTCAGTACCCTTTATTAGGCAACCAATACCTCCTGCTTGTGTGATGTCGTCCATGTATTCCTCTATTATATCCCTCATCACCTTTTAGAAATAAAAAATTAGGAGAGAGAGAGAGAGAGGGGAACAAAGTGAAACAAGGATAACTGAGAATACAGAGAATGTCTCAAATACTCAAATTAAAGTGTAGAAAGTCAAAGCGAAAGCCATTATATAATAGAAGGCAAGAAATATGGAAGAAGGTAAACTGTAAATGAAAATAACATATAACATGTAAAAATGAAGATTCAAACTCTTATGTATGTGACAGCTCATTCCTAAAGGCAGGCTCTCTCATTTTCATGGAAAAAACTTCCTTCCAAAATTAAATTTTTGGACTGATCCTTTTTCATAATAAATATTTAGACTGATCTAATTGTCAACAACTTCCAACGGAATTTAACATTATATCAAGACAAAATATTGACAGAGAACACACATGCACTATAAGAATTGAAGTTGCTTCTTACCTGTGTTGTAGATCGCTTTGATTTCTTGCCACGATATGACATTCTTCGACGTTTGTAATCCCTTTCTTCAGCTAATAACTCCTCTCTTGTCTTTGCTTTATTTGTGGACTGACAATACCACAAGGATTTTGAGACAAAGGAGATAAAGAATTGAAAAGTACGGTTTATACCACCAAAAGCGCCAGCAAGAGAGAATAGAACGTAACATGTTAATGAAAGATCATCATGTATTGCTTAAGAGCCACTTTAAAGGTAATTAAAAGCCATTTTTAAGGAAATTAGCAACTCTTCTATACAATTGTTTACAATCACAATTGCATATGACAGGAAAAGATGAGTATCAACCATGATAATAAAAATGGACAGAATTCCCACGTTAACTGTAGGATTCATGCATAGGACTGTAAAATGAATCAAGCAATTCGAGCTTGACTCACGTTTGGTTTGCCAAAAGTGAGTTCGAGATCAGCTTGTGATATAACCAAGCCAAGTTCGAATGCATTTTTGAGGCTAACTAATTTTCAAAGCTTGGCTCAATAAGATTATAAGCACTTTATATATATAAACAAGTTACATGAGCTCGAACTTCGATTCTGCTCTTATAAAAGGAACATTGGCTCTAACAATATTGTCGCCATCTACCAAAACAACACTCGTGATCGGCTCAGTCAAAGAGTAACCCAGCAGAGTTCAATAGAGGATAGAGGTCTGGTAAACGACAGCAAAGCAAAAGAGAGCAGACTAGAGCAGAACTGTTTCAGGTTCTAAAGAGGCCGAGGGGAAATGAAAAGTGACCAGAGATTTGTATGATTAAAGTTGATCAAGTGTGATACATCTTGGAAAGTTATTGAAGTATGGTACATCTAATGCCTGGAATGAATTACACTCACTCGACTCACTCATATACTGTCTTTCTTTTTTGTTTTTTGATAATTGTCTCATTCGATCAGAATCAGTTGAACATCTATTATTATCTTTCTTTTCTTTTTTTTATTGGGTGTGTTCTCCAATGTGGAGAAAACCACTACTTGCCTGGTTCTGAATAATGATCGGTTGAACAGATGGGCCATGCCTCCCCTCTTGCCGCATTAATAAGTCAGTCCTCTCTCTTTTGCAGCCTGGCCTTCAAGGTAATTCATAGCAGACTTCAGCATGGAGCTTGCCAGTTAGCTTCTTTTTTATTTAGTTTTTAATTTAGCAAGAGTAAAAATAGCCCATATGTGAAGAAATGCTTTTAATCCTTCAGATATGAATGTTGATTGGATCTAAATCCTTCAATTCTGTTCCGGCAAATTATTGTGTCTCATACATAAGGCTAAGGACACAACCAACATCCTTTCTTCTCCTGGTATTCATACACCTACTAGTACTACTCCTTAATCTTATATTTGCTACTGTGAAGGTGATATCAAAGGCTCTAGAATTGAAATTTTTTCATAGAAGGTGACGGTTCTTTGGTCCATTTGGTAGGGCTTGGAATACAAAAGTAATGAATTAGGGCAGGTTATGTCAGTCTGAAACAAAGTTCTGGAAGCAGAGAGCAACCATTTTTTGCTTTTTTTGAAGAGGTTTCTCGTGACTCGACTCAAACTAGCAACCACAAGACTGGAGGCAGATTGCACTTGCCATCGCACCTGGTCGTGAGACCTCTATTTCTGTTACCACTCTCAACGTTTATTAATCACTCCTCCATACGGGTGCATCAGTTGATCTACGTTGCACATAATCGTAACATCTCAAACAACTTTCCTTCGTTTTATCTTCAATTAGTACCATTTTATAGCAGTCCTATAAAACTTTTCCTCAAATTAATAAGAATCCTACTAACATGCAACACTCCAGTTCATCCATCCAGCTCTAATTCTATGGTCACATCCAATTCAACCTCTTCTCAGAATGACTGACCCAAGATATCAAAAATGGTCACTCTTTGGTATCTTTTGCCTATTAAATTTTACTTCCATCTTCATTCTTATTTCTAATTTTGCTAAAACTACGCTTCATATATTTGTAATTCTCTTTACTTAACATAAAACCCTAAGATTCTGAAGTACGTCTCCACAACTCTAGCTTAGAGCTTACTACGCATGTTTTGTCAACTAAACTACATAATCTGCAAACAACATATATTAGGGATATCCTCTTGAATGCCTGTAGTAAGTTCATTAATATCTAGTGCAAAAAAAGTAAGGACTTAATGTTGATCATTGATGTATTGAAAATTACTTTCACTTGTTTATCGCCATACTATTCTCACAAAAACCAACCTTTTTAAAAACATACAAAAAATTGGCATGGTGCCTAAATTATCAAGGTTCTTTAAGAAAGGGAAAACAACATGAAATGACAAATGCATAAAAAAAAAAATGCTACTTTCATAAGTAAACTTTATTAAGGAAATGCATCAAAAAAATTTTGTTGTTCTCAATTTTCTTAATTTCGAAACTGCATGCTCAAAAACAAAAATGTTTTCCATAAGCTTAACGTAAACAACCCCGTTATTCTGCGTTTTTTCCTTATCCTATCATTTTCATTTGACAATCCTCCTCATTTCACATTGTATAACCACAGGACTTTAAAAAGAAAAACACTGAAGGCAATATCTAGTAATTAGTAAGGCCATGTATTTGAAATGTACCTGATTATGTGGCCGCTGCCAAAGAAAACCATCATGTTCAAGGACAGGTCTATAATTAAGACGTTTTTGCCGCTCCTCATCAGCTCTATTTGAGAAATATGCGTGCTCAGCCGTCCTACAAGGGAATTAGCATCATGATATGTGTCAATGTAAAATGCAATGAGAAGAATGCATTAAACAAAAGATAAAGCCATCTTACAAGGGAATTAGCATTATGATGTGTCGATGTAAAATGCAATGAGAAAAACTCATTAAACGAAAGATAAAAAATGAAACAATGCAGGGTAAAGACACATTCTTACTGCAAATATAATGCACTTGATGCAGAAACAGTTAGTGCAGAAACACACATCACATGGCAATTACTCACCATCTAGTTTAGGGAATCATGATTCATCATGGTAAAATCCTAAACTGCCATATGAATTACTCGAACTCACAAAAAATTCAATTTATCATCTAGATGGTTAAAAAAAACAGGAGAGAAAAAAAAAAATGAATTCCAACCATAGCATACCATATGAAATGTATTGTTTATAAATGCCGTTTGGTAACACTTACGTTTTCAGTTTTCTGTTTATATTTACAAAAATTTTAAAAACTCAAATAAAAACTTGTTTGGTAAAATTTTTGATTTATAAATCAGTGGTTTCAGTTTATAAATTTAGCCAAAAAATGAAAACACAAAAAATGTGTTTCCATTTTGAGTTTTCAGTTTTTTTTTTTGTTACCACGCCAACACTAGCCACCACCAGCACCATTTTCCATCGATCGTATCCCCCCCTCGCCTGCCGCGTGGTGGACTCACATGAAGCCCGTCGCGCAGATCTGTTCCATGCCACGACAGCTTGACATATTTATGGAATCGTCGTATAGAAGTATGTAAGCGACATCAAATAGACTAGACCCAGCGCCTCATGGCTTCTAGTTAGTAGATCGGTCAAGTCTTACTAGGCTTCGCCAGCGGTTCGCCGCCGGCGTGCAGCATGACCCCCCAATTTTTTTCGTACCCTCGCATGACGGCAGATATGTAGTTTTATGGTTTTTATTTCCCCATTTCTCATGCATGTAGGGTTTAAATACTAAGACCTTTGTGTCGGACTCTACATGATGGGGCGACATGTAATTATGGGTGTTCACTATGCCATTTCTCTTTGCATTTAAGGGCTTAACACTCGGACCCTTATTCGGTGACATCTGCATGATTGGCAGATATGTATTTGTGGTGTTTATTTGCTCATTTCTCATAGCATAAGGATTTAAAAACACTCGGACACTTATTTGCGGATCTTCTTACATGAATGGCAGATATGTTTATGGTGTTACCCTTGCCATTCTAATGGATTAGGGTTCAAAAACCTCGGACATATTCGGAGACCGCTCCTGGATCACGGCAGATATGTAATTTATGGTATTTATTTGCATTTTTCTCATGCATTAGGGTTAAAACTCGGACAGTTATTCGGCTTTAACCTCTCCTTGAATGGACGATATGGATTTGGGTGTTAGGTTCCATTTCCTCATGCATAGGGTTTAAAAACCTCGGACACCCTTTATTTCGGACCCTCTTGCACGATGGCAATATGTAATTATGGTGCTATTTTCCATTTCTCAGCATTAAAAATTTTAACAACTCCGGGATAGACTATTACCAACCTCTTTTCCATGATGGAAGATATGTAATTATGCTGTTTACCTTGCCATTTTCTCAGGCATTAGGGTTTAAAACTCGGACCTTATTCGGTCGACGCCTCGTTTCGGTTGCATGTTGGGCAGATTATGTAATTATTGGTGTGTACTTTGCCATTCATCATGCATTAGGCTGGCTTTAAAATACTCGGGCACACTTTAGTCGGGACCCCCCCATGGCATGATGGCAATATTGTATTATGGTAACGT